AGCCATTTCACCTGACCCGGGCCGTCTGCAGGAGGAGGAGACCTTTCCCCTTTCATCTCATCCCACCCGCCCGCAGCCCGGGGCTCCCCGGGGCAGCACCGCGATGCTTTGCTGCTGCTGCTGCTCCAGCATCCTCTGAGGACGCCTGCCCTTCAAACTCATCATCAGAGAAGTTTAGGTTGGAAGGGACCTTGAAGATCATCTTGTTCCCACCCCCCTGCCCTGGGCAGGAACACCTCCCCCCAGCCCAGGTTGCTCCGAGCCCCATCCAATCTGGCCTTGAACACCTCCAGGGATGGGGCAGCCTCTGGGCAACCTGGGCCAGTGCCTCACCATCCTCAGAGTAAAGATTTTCTTCCTAATATCTAATCTAAATCTCCCCTCTTCCAGTTTAAAACCGTTCCCCCTTGTCCTATGGCTCCACTCGCTGATCAAGAGTCCCTCTACACCTTTTCTGTAGCCCCCCCTCTCCCAGAGTCTCAGTTCTGTTCTAAAAATTGGTGCCTCAGTCCCCTGGACATCTCAGTATCACTTTTGCCGACTGCAGAAAATACCCATAGCATTAGCATGGACCTGTTAAATTACAGATTTGAAGGAAACTCCTTCATAGAATATTGTTATGGGTCAGAAAGGCACCGATTTCAGAGAAGCATGTCTGGGGAGAGTGGGAAGAAGGACAGCAACTGTCCTCCAGGTGTGGGGGTGTAACAATGTGCAAATTGCTAGAAACCCCTGAAAAGCACATCCCGTTTCTCTCCAGCTCACGTTTCGCAGACAGTACTTTTAAGCAGTTTTTATAAGGACAGGGGGCAAAAAAGAAATGTTATGACTGAAAACCTGCACTGATTTGAACTTGATTTTCCTCTTTGGACCTTCATCTCTAAATCAACAGCCTGTGACAAACATCAGTACTGATGAGAAAGGCAACAACTACTGCATGGCTACTCACCCACTCTCCGCAGGGTTTATTTTTAACCCAGCATTACTGCAGGTAGCACTGTCTTTGTGTATTTTCAGGTTAAACTGCAAATCCTGCTGAGGAGTTTAGGGCCAAATTGTGTCTAGTTACCACAGCAGGGAAAGGATATTTCATCTACCAGCACTGGGGATGGCTCCACGGGAGAAGGCAGGGGTCATGCACTGGGAGAGCAGAGCGAAGCCCTGGCCCCGTCCCGGGGATGCATTAGCTGCCGCAACAGGAGGCGGTGATGGAGCAGACAGTCTGAAGACGCCGAGATGGGGTCACAGGGGTGTCCGGATTGACCCTCCGCACTGCTCCTGGAGCTGCGCAAAAATGTCTGGCTCCAAAGCTTGGGCAGTAAAAAACAAACCGTGGCCTCAGCAAGGCACAATAAATATCAAAGTTAATCTCTAATTAGAGATGTTACTCTACAGGTGCTCATAAATCAGCTGAAAGGAAAGATAATAACGGCCATTCCCTTTGCTGGGGAGAGTCCTGTCTTGCTCATCCCACCCTGTTAACGGGATTGTAAAAGAACAGATCTAGACATCACTTAGCAAAGAATTACAAACAGAAGGGGAAACCTTACTTAGTCTTTTTATTCCTGAACCCATTTCCACCAGCGTTGCTCATGTTGAACAGGTTTGACAAGTTGGCTCTCTTCTTCATTACCGGCCTTGGGTTAAGCAAGAGCAAACCCAAGGACAGTAGACCAGCCCCAGGTCATGCGAAAGCTGGCACTTTCCGTGGGCACCCACACGTGGTGACAGCCTGGGGGCTTCTGCAAAGACATTTCTGATGGGAAGCCATCGGGACTCAGCTGCCCAAAAGCACCGTGCTATGGGCATCCACCACACTCAACAGCGAATACACGCGGAGGAGGAATAGACTGGAAAGCCTTCGAGTCGTTATGCGCACAGGGCATTGAGTACAAGCATAGTCCAGACCATCAGCAGTAGGTGCTGGCAAGTAAGATTAGCACTAGCAGAGGCCACCAAAATAAGCAGAAATAAATCTTAATACGTAGTCTTCCAAATACACACTCCTGAGAAGGGTCTGAAAATGTGCAGAACAGTTTCTCTACGGAAGGGCGTTGATGCTGCCTCACACTGGGGACAGACAAGCTCTAGAAGCCTTTCCCAGGACTCAGCTTTGTGATTTTATGTCTATGGAGATGTGGATATAAATGCACTTGCCAGCACCGGTGCGCACTAATGTTCCATTTTGTAAATTATTTCACAGTCGGTAGAAATAACGTGGCAAGGATGCTGGTTAGAAGCGCAGCCTGCTCTGGGCGTCCCGCTCCGCACGGAGCTGGACCGCTCTCCTGCCCACAGCCTCGCGCTGCTCAGCACCTCCGAGTCATGGCACAGAGAAGGGGAGCTGAGCCGGCGGAACAACTTGCAACTTCATCGCTTTCTGAGGGGTACGGTCCAACTCTGGTGCCACTAAAAATCAATACAAGTTTTATCTTTGTCTTAAACGGAAGCAGGACCCGGGCCATGGTAAACAGCTTTAATTGGATGTCTGAATGGGCGGGAACATCTCTAAACTGCAGCATCAGAGCTGCGCCACTTTCCAAGCATAACTTCTTATTGATTTCGGTGTTATTTCCAAACAGAAACTACGGTACAGTAAATAAACTGTCAAGCTAAGCCCCATCCTCTAAAATAAAAAGCCCATAATTTAATCTAGTTCAGCTGTGTTTTTATATATCATTTTGGAAAAGCCATTATTAGAATCCATACTCAGAGTTTAAAGCTTATTTTATTTTCTAAGAGCCTGTGTTGCCACAAGCGCAGGGTTTAGGGTATCATTAATCCATATTCTGTTACTGTGGCACAGCAGATTCCTTACTTTCCCAAAACATGTTCAATTTCACACAACGAGCATCGCAAAAAAAAAAAAAAGAGAGAGAGAGAGAGAGAAAGAACAAATTTGAAATGTAAATGATATATCACAAAGCAAGTATTGGGGGGAAATATTAGCACTTTTATCATAATGAGTTTGTAACCTAAATACATATTTCAAGGATTAAATTGCTGACCCTCTCTGACCTCCACAGGAGGTTGAATAGCTAGATCGTAGTTTAATCTTCAGTGAAAACGCTGGAGAAGAATAACACAGCCCTTGAAGAATGAATGACCACATATTAATGATGCCCCAGGATTCAGAATTTAACCCTTACGAGGAGAAAATAAAGCTCAACCCCCCAGACATTAGTCTCAAAAGACCCAGCGATAACTTCCCTCAGAAATAAAAATGAGGTAACACAAAAGTCACACAACTCACTGATCAGGCTGGCAAATAAGGGATTGCTCGGGTGAAGCTACAGACAGGTTAAGCAGCACAGTCCCGAGCCTCTAACTAAATGGTTTGCTGCACTTAAATCACAACACATAACATAGCGGGGCGTAAGAGAGCAAGCTGACGTGCTGGAGCTGGGTCAGAGCCCGCAGGTGCTACCTAGGGGCCAGACAAGGGTGCAAATTCCAGGAGAATAACTTGATAAAAGGGAAAAATCCCGAGAGAGCAACTGAGGGCAGACAGGCTTAAGAGAGCTCTCCAGTGGCTAGAAATGGTCCTCCCCGTACAGGGTTTTAGGATGTTCCAGCATCAGCCTCCTCCCTCCTCGTCCCTGTGAATCCTGGGACCACTGCCAAAGGAGCTGCAAACTGGTATCCAGCTTGTCCGTAAAGGACTGACTTCAGCAACCAGTGCAACCCCAGCCAAGGGGGTGTGGGAGTGCTGTGCTCGCAGTGATGCTTCCCAGGCTCACCCCGGGAGTTAGCAGAAGGCCACGGTTTGTGAGACGGAGCCCGCTGTGAAACACGTGGTCTCCAGAGAGGCACATCAACGCAGTATTTATGAAGCGATCACCCTGACATGCTGAAATCTGGAGTGATGAGATTGGTCTTGAGGAAGCTGTTCATTACCCACCCCAAGTGAAAACGCACCTTCAGCCACGGAAAAGCACAAGCGGGTCATAAACAAACCAATAATATATTGTAAACTATGTGGGGAGACGGAGGACTTGACTTTACCCACAGCAACATTTCTCATTACAAATCACCTCTCTATATTGTGCAAACCCGGTGTCTATTGGCATTTTTACCTTTTCATTTTTGTAGCTGGAGCAAGTCAGCTTTTCTTACCAGTCGGTCAAAAGCATCTTTCATTAAGCTCTCCTGAAAGCCCAGCTCACCATTACTGATAGCTTCATGTCTGGGAAGCGATTGCCTTGAACTCCTGCAGGCGCATGCAAGGGTATTTCATAGTAGGCCCTGCTGTAATTACTAAGCTGCTACGTACACCCCTCCCGGGACAACGGCACAGAGAAATCGGAGAGATGATGGATGAATAAGTCTGTGTACCTATTCTCTGCCTTCACCTTCACAACTACACAATAAAAGACGACTTGCGGTCCTGTGTTATCATTTGCCCACTCTTACAGACTTACATCCTGTACCTCAAAATGGCTTTTCGTAATTTCATATAATGCTAATTCACATCAAGACCTACGTCTTCTATTATCCTTAGCTTTCGACAAGAAGCTGCAACTCTGAATTTAACCCAAAATAAATATGAAGCAGCCTGTTTTCCCTTTTACATGGAGTTGCGAAATATCACCCATACCTGAAAGTACTTGTACCTAACCACTAAACTGTAGGACTTGTGAAAACTGTCATTGTGAATTTATTCCTTATAAAGTATATTCCCTATAAAGAGTATTCTCCTTCAAATATTTTGAAGCTTTAATTCTCCAAGGAAAGAAAGAAATCAGTGGTGAGATCCTATTTGCCAGATACTTTCCTAGGTGGCCTCTTTCTCAAGACATCAGCCATTTTACCCTGCATACTACGTACAATTTTACTTAAATAATCATAAACCAAGGCACCTAGTCCTCATTCACATTTCCCCTCTAAATCCAGGGTTTTTCTCTACCCCATGAACAGCATTAGGAAGGGTTATTAAAGCAGACATTGCTCTCACGGTTTTTCTAGCTCGCTGCAGGAACGGAGGCTGCGTTGTTACTCACAAGCAAACTGAAGCTTTGCTTCTCTGCTGACAATTGTTCCGAACGGGTTTGTTGCTACACACTGGTATGTTCCAGTATCTTGGGTTTTATTGGGATTATTGATCAACAGGTTGCCTTCCACCATGCCGTAGCGGTAATCCATACTGATGTCAATACTGGTTCCATTTAACTTCCACCTATAGCACAAAACGCCAAAGTTAAACTCTGCTAATATTAACAAATACTCTTGGGTATTTGAAAATACAACGTGTAGTAAACAAAGAAAGATTTAAAACATCTTTGACTACTTATTAAAAAAAAAAAAGCATGAAAATGCAAATTTCCTGCACAGTACTGAAATATTCCAGTATTTAACTAGAAGAGCAATATCCTTGACATATATTTCAGTCTCTGATATGATTAATGCTTATGCAGTTACTAGTGCTGCTGCTCTTTGGAATTAATCATTTTGCAAGGGGAAGTCCCAGAAACAGGATCTTTAAACCATTCAAACCCACTGAGGTTTATTTCCCTCTCCCAACTTGCTGGCTGTTTGTTTTTTAAATTTACGAAAATTCACTCACAGCAGATGTTGTCACAAGCTGGGACACTGAGAAATCCCAGCCCCAGCTTGCCCTAGTTACAGCAATCCTCATCCCCACCAGCCCTCGATGGAGCGAGGCCACCACTGCCCCAGAATGTACAGAGAGACAATTTGAATCTGTTCACACCACTGAATCAACAAAGTTTGTTGCGTTAACTAGTCGGTTGTGTCAGAAGACAGCCCAGTGGCTGAGGTCTGACAACTCTTAATGGGTTTCAGAGTGGCATTTACTTTGGCGAACAAAATGAGAAGGCACTAAAGGAAAAAAAAAACAGCAGCCGAAATGGTTTACAGCAGCATCATCACCGTGGTAGTACAGCATCTTTTTTCTAAGGATCCCAAAGGTAAAAAGCTGAAAACAGTTAAGAGCTTTGTCCACATTTATGGAAAAGGATGGTTAATCTGGGAGCCAAGATGATTTATAATCCCTTTGTAACGTTTTTGAACCCTTGTCCAAATTTTGCAATTGCGCTGCCATGCGCGGTGGTTTCCTGATGCCTGGTTTTTTATCATCAGCCTTGTGGGAGACTGCAGGGCCACTGCTGAGTTACACGGCATGATCCATGGAGGAGAATGGATCTTGGGGGATACAGCTGTACTGTGGAGATGGTGCTAAAGAATAGTTAAACATTCAACAAACCCAATGGTTGGTCTGGGATTTCCTTTCACTTCGCAGCTCAGTTTCACTTTCTTTTCCTCTGAATCCAAGGGGAAGATCACGCTGTTGGGCTCCTGAAGGAAAACTGGCCCATGCAGGGTGTTGTCGTCTGCGTGAAACAGAGAAAAAATGTGACAGCTACTTGATGGCATCTCCATGCACTCGGTGTTAAAATATAAAATAGTATCACAGCAGCAGGAGGTCGTGCATCATTCGCCCTAGAAAAGATGTGATACACTATTTATTTTTTTTTACAACAGCCAGATTTTTTTTTCCAAAAGCCACTGAACCTCGTCTGGAGTCAACATTCAGGAAAAGATTTCTGCACTAAATAGAGCACAGACTGAAACTTTACCCAAAGTTCAAACGAAGGGGAACAGGCATGCTCCTACCACGACAGCACAGCTCACTTCAAATCACAATGCTTACTTTCACCTTTAAACACTGAAATATTTTAAATCAAAAAAACCTCATTATTAAATATAGCTACAGAAAGTAAGGACTTTCCATCTTTTAGCTGAATGAACATTTTCTGATCGTGTTCTGCTCTACCATCCTTCTAGCAGACCTCTACTCCCACACACTACCAGCGGGGCAAAGGGCAACTGCATGGGCCACCAGGGTGCTGTCGCCAGTAGCCGGCCCACTGGCTGCCGAGGGCAGGAACTCGCGGGGACGCCAGCACGGACATTGCTTTGGCCCAGCAGCCACGCTGCTGTCTACTCTGCTGCCAGAAGTCCACCTTGACGGACACGCAGGAAATTTGTGGGTATAGGGCTGAGCAGAATGAATAAATAAAATACAAAGATGATGTGAGGTACAAAAAATAAGACAGAAAAAGGAATAAACAGAAGACTATGCATCTTCCCGATGGGAGGAGGGTGAGAATGGATGTCAACAGCCCTCATATCCCCTGACACTGGGAAATCAGATGGATTTATTAGGAATGGAACAATAGCTCTTTACTCCAGGGAGAAAATTCTGTCATCTCCACAGAAGGATTTCAGAGAGGCTTTGCCAGGAAGATTATAATGGAGCAACCTCTCCCCTGTGTCTTCTCCCTCAGGCACCACCACAAAAGAAAATGCACTAAGCACACAGTCATATCGGTTGTATTTATCTTTATTTTTAATTATATGTTAACCATATCTGACTGAGACTCATCTATTATTCAAAACACATTCCACATAATCTCTAGCTTTAAATTATACCTGTGTGCAACTTACTGTTGCTGGCAGAAAATGATAATAATACCCATAAAGCATACAGGGCTAGATTATGATATCCTGACTGGTTTCTGAGACCCAGGGCTGCTTCGCTCCTTGAACAGCCTCATCCACCAGAAGAAAGAATATTACAATCTGGCCCATAAAGATTATAGCTCTGAGTAATATATTAATGGGCTTGAAAACAAGAGAATTAAAATGTGTTTCAATTTATCCAGTTTTCTAGCTGTAAAATACAGAAGTTGGCCTGGTGTGTGGGTCCCGTCTAAGAGTCGCTTCAACGCCCATAGGCAACTTGATGGTGCCGGGCCAGGCACAAGCCAGACCGTCCCAGCTAACCCAGTTAGCCAACGGTGCTGACTCGGGTACGTGTCGCATTGGCTGTGCCATCTGCCTCACGCCCCACCGAAGGGCTCAAGTCACGCTACGCTATCATTTGCTGTTATTTCAATTATGATGTGTCAATTTATACGGTATCACATCATGCTAAAGGTCAGATTATCAGTCCTCCTCCCATCACAAGCAACACACCTTGCATGAAAAAAGTAGATAGCTCATCTACTTGAGTTTGGGAAATAGACCCACAAACGAATCCAAGGGTCCAAACGTGTCCCCACGTGCCCAGGACATCACCTGGCTGCGGGATCTGGGGCCAGACCGTCACGGTGCAGCGTCCCGGGGTGAGACACCCGTCTCCGAGGGCTAATGAAACTGCCCCACATGATGCAGCAGAGTGTTTTATAGGGGGTTAATTTCTAAGAAACATTACAATCTGCCTATATAATTAGTAAGCAAAGCACAATTTAGGAAACACGTCAGACAAAATGTACAGAACTACGAAGGCAGAAATTGTCACAAATAGGTGAAAAGACTAAACAACTTAATCTGCCTAAGCTAAAATAGAAGCTCATGAAAGATCAAACAAATCTGCTCTCCAAATATTACAACATCTGCTGCTGACACTGTTTAAAATTCAGCTTTTATACAGCAAAAAAAAAAAAAATGCTTGCCCTTCCTGTTAGCCAGCAAGAAGAAAAGCCCCAGTGCGACTAGTACTCAGCTTGCAGGAGAACCGCGCTGGGTAAGGCAGCAAGAGGCTTGGAAAGCCGCTGCCAGCGGATCGGGGGAAGAGAAGAGGAGGAAAAACCTTGCAACGCTGGGTAGATAAAATTATTTTGAGTGCCTTTCTTCTTTCTCTTATTGCTGCCCATGTATAACCAAGATAAGCAAGTCCAAACTATTTAATCTTCAGACTGTAGAGTTCTGTTGCTACAGTCTAAGGCGTGATGGAAATCACTGCAGCCCCTAACGCAGTGTGAGACAAGAGTTGAGCCACTGCACCTTACAGAAGGGGAGCATTTGGCTCAGAGAACACTAAATATTCACTAATAAATAAAACAAACTGCCATCTAGACTCTTACAGACAAAAAATTAAAAGTACCTGTACCATATATAGTCCATTTTTGACTAACTTACAATGTTACCAGGTAGAAACAGATCTCAGATGCTTACTGTCAGCACAGACAAACGCATTCGCTCTATGACAGTGTCTGCTTTTGTGAGAGCAAAGTTATTCTACCCAGTTAACTTCAAAAGGTGAATTTGACACTTTTCTTTCATTTTTTTTCTTTTAAATAAAAGCAGTAACTCCATTTCTATTGCAATAACATTCAGAGACTTGCAATCGTAAAGCGACAATAACACATTTTTTGTTTATCGCTGATGGACACTACCAGCAGCTCGATCCACAGAAGCCCACCGATGCCAAAAGCAGACTCTTCCCTGAGCTCAGGAGGCTTTTCCCTTGTCCTTCTTATCAGATTGCATTTATTAGGCTCTCTCTTTTGGTCATTTAACCAAACAGAACAACGAAGCAGTGCATACACGTATGCACGTGAAAGCTGCTCGGTTATTTTAACTCACTTTGTTCTTTATGATTTTCAGCAGCAACCGAGTAACCTGTGCTACTCTTTACAGGTTTGTTACTGTCCTGGGAAAATACAGTGAGTAACCTTCCCAGACAAGCTAACTGTTGAGACACTCTTGCAGTGACAGATTTTATTTTTCTGAGTTACGTTTCTTTTGCTCGAGCCCGAAATGAGTTAACCCAGAATGAACACTGAGCTGCCCTCAGCTTAAGACAAGTTGCAAACAAGATTGGTTACCAAAACGCATTTTTTTCCCCCTGTCAGACGAAACAAATGTACTACTGCTCTGGGTCTGCCTCCTCTGAGAGAAGTGTATTTCTTTCAGTAAGATGCAGGATATAGGAAATTTCAGTAGATTTCATGATAAAAGAAACATTTTTACACATAGTACGAGCTGTATGCCCATATGCTGTTGGACAGAATGTGATGGATAACTGAGAAGAACATTCTGCTATCCTCGCTTCCGCTGAGATATACTTTTTTTCCTAGTGAATCACAAAATGTATTAAAAATGCCAGATTAATTTAAATACATTCCAAATGAAGATCATATTTTCCGTATCTCACCAGTATCCCAAACGTGAGAGCCAGCACATCCAGAAGGATGCTAAATGCTTGTCGTCTTTCTGCGCTTTTGAGGAATTGAAACATGAAGAATGTCGACTGAGGTTAATTCACACAAACAGGTGAAACAATTCCTATTCTCTCTGAACATTAAGCCCAGTGACGGATATCGTTACCTAAATAGAACTGCTTTAATTTTCATTGAAAGTTATGGCC